AAATGTGTGTATATGTATATAGGCATGTATTTATGTGTGTATATATATATACATATGTATATATATGCATGTGTGTGTGTATGTATATATGTGTATATATACTCCTGCTTTTAAAAATATTCATTTTTAAAATTTAGTAAGCAATAACTTAAGTAAACTTTTTTTTTTTGCTCTAGATCTGTGATATCATTTGTTTATGGGTACTCCTGTAAAGAAAGGCCCTCAACCAAAGCAGATCCACACGTTTTCAGGGTTGCCTGGGGCACTGAGAAAGATTAAATGACATAGGTTATAAGCTGTGCTGATAATCCGGAACAAACATACAAAATAAGGATTAAAATCTTACAGAAAGCCTTTAGCGTTTAACAAAGTAGAACCAAACAAATTAACAAACAACCCTAAAATGCATTTGCTTTCTTCCAAATTCTACGTCTTTCGCCTCTGTCCTATTTTTCATTTTTATATAGTTTTACTCAATATGTACACATTTCTAGTTCTACAAACCTGTTTGTATTACCTTCATATTTTCTCTTCTTCCACCTTTCCTTGTGTTCTTCATCTGATCATTTTCATGGAACTATAAATTCAAGTATGTTAATATACCATTATTTAGTCTACCATTCTCCAGCGGTTAATATAACTAACCATAAGTTGCTTCCATTTGTTATTTTTATTTTTATGTTTTGCTATTACAAAGAAAGCAGTTTTGTTGTAGTTCCCATTGATAATCTTGATTAATATTGGTTCTCAGTTTTGTTTTATAAGATAGATGGGAAGGGGCTCCAGCTTCTATGGCTAGCTGACTTAACTCAAGAGTTTCTACACTATCACATTTTCCTTTTTTCTTTCCTAGGCTTTGGACAGTGTTCTGGTCAATGTTAACTTCACTGGTAATAGTGTAGAGACTCAAGACTCATTGAATTTCAGTGGTAGAAAGGAAACTTAACACAAAGAATATTAGAACTAGGGAGATCACTTAGTCCAAAACCCTAACTTTACAGGTAAGGAAACAGACTTTTTCTCAGCATCCCATGGCTACTAAGTAGTGTGGCCAGGTTTAGAACTCAGGTTTCCTGACTTATATTTGGAATTTTACATCTATCATTAATCCACGCCCAATGTGTATGCTTGACCCTCACTCTGTCCCTTCCTGGCTTCTCAATCAAGTCTCCCTGGCTTTTCCCATGGTCAAGGGCAAGGTTCTTGTCTTGCTCTTCTTCCCATCTCCCTTAGCACCCATAGCACTCATTATCAGTGTTCAATAAACATTCATTGAATGAACATATCATAGGCCCCTGGAGAGAATTACTATCACTGCCACTACTATACCCCACCACCTAGGGCATATATATATTCCCCTTACTATATCATCCAGGTACAGAAATACTTGTGACAAACCCAGAAGCAGCTATGCTTAAATGCATAATTTCACTAACAAATTAAGGTAAAGAGCACCAATCAACTAATCAATACACATTTATTAAGTGACTTCTATTTGTTAGGCACCATTTTAGGCACTGGGAATACAAAGGCAAACATTAAATAAAATTACCCAAAAAAAACATTACACCTCAAACTGATAGAGACATATAGAAGGCCTTAGATTAATGAAGCAATGTTGCATAGTGGGTAGAGTGTAGGACTTGGAATCAGAAAGACGTGATTTCAGATTCTTCTTCTGAATTAGCTATGTGTAAACTCCCTAAATCTCAGTTTTCTCAAATATAAAATTAGCAGGTTGGATTTGTTGGCTTAATTAAACAAAGGGAAGCACTGTGGCATAAGATCTGTGGGACCCCAGTCACCTTGGTTTCAGTAGGGATGCTTTGGATTAAGCTAATAATCTTTGTGCCCCCATTTGAATAAATACCTTTATTTATGGATCATTGGGGAAAGGACACAAATCAAATAGCAAAATATTTAATTAAGCCTGAACAGCCAAGTAACTTACATAGGAAAATGAGTGGGCATAAGATCATTCCTGTTTTTCTCCACCTTGTGTTGGGAGCCATCATAACTATTTTTTTTCCCAGTCAGAACTTCTTCTCCTCTCCAGTTTCTGACTCTTCCTGTGACATAATATCTCCTCTCAGGAACAAGTCTCAAAGGATTTCAGTCTTTGGCCTTTCCCTCAATAAAGAGTAGCTCCCCTGTCCTAGCTATCATGAGCTAGGGGAGGCAGTTCTGACTCATGTAGTCAATGATCATACATATTGATTAGAAAAGAGAATTAGAGGTTAAAGGTTTGATTTAAATCTAGGTTCCACTATTACTTGCTACAGGACCCTGAGCAAATCATTTAACTTCACTGAGACTCAGTTTTCTCAGTTGTAAAAGGGGGACAATGGCTGTTTCTGTGTGGTACTGCAAACTAGAATGTGCTGGATAAAATAAACTACTGTTTTGTTTCGTGAACCTAAGCTAGCACAATGCCTGTATCACCATAGGCTTTTTTTTTTTTTTTGAGACTGGACTGGGTCTCCCTATCTTGCCCAGGCTTGAAGTGCCACACTACTCACAGGCCTACTGAATCAAAGGAAAGCCTTGACCTACTTAATTTTTCCCACCTGGGCCAATTTGTTCCTCCTTAGGCAGCTTGGTGGCCCTCCATTCCTGGGGGCTCACCTTGTTGGTACTAGGCATTGTGCAGAATTCCTAAGCTGGAGTGATCCACTAGCTTCAGCTTCTTACAGCAGCAAGGTTTATAGGCATGTGCCAATACTCCTGCCTATAGAAGGCTCTTAATAAAAACCTGTTGAATTGAATTATCAAAGTGATTTTCCAAAACTGCTTTTCTCACAACAGGACTTCAAGGTAACTAAATGAAAGTGTTTACACCCTTTGAGTGACTGGTTTTTGAGTGATTATAGATAGATCTCATTAGGAGGCTCTGAGAGCTTGATGCAAACAGGTATGTGACATCTGCAAACAGGAGTATCTAGAAGACCTCATCATCTATCTTAAGGAATCCTTCCTGCTTTGGGGCCCCATGTTTCTGATCTGTGAACTTCCCCATATCTATCCCAACCAAAACCCATCACATCTCTAATTCTGGAACAGCAATCAAATCAACAATACTATTCCAAGAAAGGAAATGTCAATCAATTGTCCTATGACTCTAATTGATAACCCTGTGACTTTCCTGATCAATTCCTGGCCTCTATTATCCTATATATGTTGCTTTCTCTTATTATCAACAAACCAATCCTAAAGCATTTATTAAGCATTTACTTTCCTTGAAGGTAAAGACTGTCTCACATATATATATATAATATATATATAATATATATGTATATATTTTTGTATTTGCATCCCCATCACTTCATGTAGTGCTAATAGGCACACATTCATTCTTTGGTTCAATTTGGACTCTTCTTTACTGGACATCCTCAATGATGGTGGCAAACATCTTTTGGAAACAAGGTTAAGGAAAAGATAGTCTGCTGAACTTGTTGAAATCTTGCTTGGTTTCAGCCTCAGGGTTGAAATATATCACACACCTGTAAGATTTGTTGTAGGTATCAACAGTAGTAGGATGTGTGGCAGAGTGGAATCAAAACAAAACAAAACAAAAACCACTTAGCTTGGAATTAGAAAGATCAAGGTTCAACTATCTGCTGCAGTCATTAAGAATCATCTGTGACTGGCCAAATCACTTCTTCCTGACCCAGTTGCCTCATCTGTAAAATAATAACCCCTTCCTCACAGAGTTGTTGTGAGCATCAAAGGAGAAGATATATATATATATATATATATATATATACACACACACACACACACACACATTTTGCAAACCTTAAAATCTATTTATGTAATACATATTTTACAAATGTTATTTTATGTGAAAAATGAGAATTTGGGTTGATGATTGTTAGTGTTCCTTCCTCTAAATTCTTTGAGCCTATGACCCATCCTAGAGAAGTGGGTGACTGGGGGTATACCAGCAATTGCAATAATGTAGATAAAGCAAGGCACATCTTAACACAACCAAAATCAAAGACAAAGTTACCGGAAAATGGGGCAATTCTGCCGGGCAGCCCTACCAGCCTGGAGGGACTTGTCTCGTCGAGGCACTAGGGTCTATGAAGCGTTACATCCATTCATGTGATACGGTACATTACGTGACACTGTTGTAATGTGGGGCTCTCTTCCTTGTAAGCTTCGGGGGAGCAGGCACCTGGAGAGAAGCCGTGCAAACCAGACCAGGTGTTGTGATGGCTCTGCGGTTTGGCTTGGAGGAATGTGCGAGGCGGGATGCGGGCTCCGAGAAGCCCGAAGGAAGCTTGCTCGAAGCGCAGCGCTCTCTTCTCATCCCCACAGCACCTGGTGGTTTGGGGACCAGCTTTGAGTTTGTCATAGGATCGCAGATTTAAGAGATGCAAGGGATTAAGTGAACTCGTGTAATCCATCGCCCTCGCATTTTAAGGAAACCGAGAGGTTAGAGGGCTTGCTGAGGTCACACTGGGAGCAAATGCCAGCGCCAAGTTTCATTTGAACACAGATCCTTGGGCTAAAGGTTTTTCAGGTTTCCAATTTTTCTACGGTGAGGGACGATTTCTTCACAGTTTTCTTCCATCTCGCATTGGCAATATCGGAACCATTCCGACATGAAGCTGTTTTAATTTTAAGTGTCGGGCAGCGCAAAACGCCCCAAGACCCGCCAGAGAGCTACGGCCAGAACCGCCCTTAGTAGTGGTAGTAGTAGTGTAGTTGCTCATGCGCAAGAAACTTCCTGGGTGGCGAGAGTGCGCGTGTGCGCGTGGCCCCCAGCGCTGGAGAAAGTAATGGAGTTGCACGAGTCCGCCGGGCGCGTGCACGCGAAGGAACGCCAGGCCGGCTCGCACTCCAACACTCGGTGGAGAAGGGCGTGGCGAAGGGAGGGGAAGAAGGCGGGAGGCGTGGCGAGGGTGCTGTCGTCATGGTTCCGCCTCTGTTGCCCCCTTACTTGCGGCCCGGCAGGCTGCGCGCGCATCCCCCCCTTCTTTTGTGGTCCGGCCCATTGCGAGGGTGACAGGAAACCCTGTGTAGGGTGCGCCGCCATCTTGGACGACTCCGAGGAGGATCCTTTCCTGAGGAAAGCTGCAGGAGCTGCCGCCGGAGTCGCCGCTGCCCCGCGCCTCCTCTTCTTCCCCCGGCATCCTCAGCCCGCCCGAGCTCGCCCCCTTGGCCTCCCGGGGCCTAGTCCCGTGACTGTCGTTTCTCCTCCTTGGTGCCCAAGGGCCTCATCTTCCCCTCTTGACTCTTCACGCCCCGTTCGGAAAGCTGCCCAGCCACCAGCCACCCCCCAGGTACTTGACCCCGGGCCGGCCCCCTCCGGGGCGCCCCCAGCCCCCTTCCAGCAGGAGCGCGCGTGTGGGGTGGGGAGGGAGGCAGGGAGGCCCTCCCTCGTAGCACAGTCTCCTCGGGCCTGCGCCCGGGCCGGTCTCCGGGTCCGCGGGGGCGGGCAGCGCTCCGGAGGGGGTCCAGGGGGAGGGGCGGCTCCTGACAGCAGGGGAGGGGAAAGGAGACGGGGAGGGGGGCTGCAGCTGGCTCCCCGCCGTCCTCCTACCCCCTTCCCCTGGCCTGTCTTGGTGCGGGAATGTAGCTGGGGGGGGGACACGGAGGAGAAGGCGGAAGGTGCTTTCTAATCCTTATTTCCCCTTCCCCCCTACTCCCCCCCTTATTCTCCGCCCCCCCCCCAGGCCCCATCATTGTTTTTACCCTCCGTGGACCTGGAGATGCTGGGAATGGGAAGGGTGTGTTCTCTTTATAACCTTCCCCACCTCTTCCACCACACACCCATCCAGAGAGAAGAAATGGCATCTCCTGGTGAATTTTAAGAAACCGGAGAAATCACATTTCCTGGTTGTGTGCCTTTTCTCTCTGCCTTGAGACGAGAATCTGTATTTATGGCCTCACGAGTGCTCTAGTTCACTTTTCTGCCCCTGGGTCACAAACGTTGCATTTTCTCCCCAGACCGCTAGCTACAATCTTGCTCTGAACACAAAAGATTGCTTTTCAAAGGACTCCCAATTGCCTTTCCCCAGGCAACTTGGTTTCTGTGTCAGTCCTTGTCGACTTTGGTAGAATGCTACTTCTCTAGCTTCGAGACGTGCATGTGTGTGTATGGGATACTGTATTTTTGGTGTATTCTCCCACGAATTGCAGTAGAGCTGAGTATAGATTCATTCTACTCAAGATGGCATCTGGTAATTAAAAAAAAACCTGTTTCAGGGATTCAGTGAAAGGGTTGTATTATACTACACATGGTATTTGGAAATATGATTACTCTGGAACCCCTTAAAATGCTGGTGTGTGTGGGAGTCCGCTTTATAAGCCACAGCTAATAGCCATGTTCATATCAAGTTTCTGGGGACATGACTTGACCCTTACTATAGCCAAATCTACCCCCTGCCTCTCCAAACACGATTTTTCTAGGGCAGCTCAACAGTTTTATTGAGCTTCCTTCCAACTACTTCTTATCTGAACTCATATAGCACTACAATTGGTACACCACATAATTTTAGCACCAATATGTATGCTAATTTTTTGTTGATGTTGGTCGTGTTTGCATGTTGAAAATTTGTTGAGGTCCAGGATCACCCATGAGCCCATGTCTTAGTTTTTTATCAGTCCACAGGGACTATGGAATATTCAGCATGGTGCAGTGGATAGAGTTGCTGAACTTTGAAGACAAGAAGAATTGGGTTCATGTCCTGCCTCTCCTATTTAACTAGCTCTTTGACCATGGCAAGACACTTAACCTTTTTAAAACAGTTTCTTCATTTGTAAAATAGAGATGGTAATAGTTCTTATAACTAACAGTTTACATAGTATTCAGAATGGTAATATAAACTGTTAGATTGTTGGAAAAGTATTGACTGCTATTTTCTGTTTCAGCTGATTTGAAGAATGGGGGAAGGGAGCTAATTTTTCTCTAGGAGAATTGAAGTTTGTGAATTAACGAAATCAAAATTGGTATGCTGTTGTGATTGGCCTTCACAGAATTAAAGTACTGTAAAATAAGATTCTACTTTAGTTGCCCAAGATCCAGTGCTTTTCTTGTGCTACTTTTTGGGAATATTAAGACTCATGAGGAGCGATAAGAATATTAATATAGCATGTAATTCTGCTTAAAGAGGAGTATAATTCTGAGTTAACCTCAGTTTTGCCAAGAAATTTTTATAAAATAAAGGAAATGTTGAATGTACATTCATTATTACTTGTGCTTCCAAATATATATGTATATGGATGTGCAGTAAGCATTATTCACTAGTTTGGTTTATATTTACATATATTACATACATTTTAAGAGTTTCAGAGTTTTCTTTCTTTTTTTTAAACTGGCTAAATGGGGAGGGGATAGGGCTGAATTTAAAGACGTACTTTTATGAATATTTAGAATTATGAAATTTGGGATCCATTCTGAAAGGTCCAAAAGCTGAGTCAGTGTGTAGGTAATTCAAAATGACATGCACACATATCTTTAAATACTAATTTCCATTCTTTGAAACAGTTTGTATTTTAAGCTAAGCTAGTTTTTATTCTTAATGCTTAATTCATTTAGGTTGTAAACAAGAAATCATATTAGACTACTTTGAATATTTGTGCCACTGTTTTTTCTTTTTTATTGAAATACAACCCTAGTGAGACATTGCAAATGATAGATAAAACTGATTTGTTCTAAGGCCAAACTATCAGACTATGCTAAATTTGAGTCAGTAAGGCCTTGATACTTAATTTACACTTTTAAAAGTTTCTGATTTTTTAGAAATTAAATGCTGGGTATAATTTGGAAGTTAGGTGAACTTAAGTCATAATTAGAACATTTCTAATATCAAGCATTTAAATTTATTGTACTATTAGTGTTACTGGTTCTTTTGAATTTTGTCTTGGTAAGAAGGATGTCTTTATTAACTTCAAAACATGTATTTTTTTCTTCTTACTACTTTTTACAAATATGGCTTTGCTATTGAATGACCTTCATGAGGGAAGGAAGTTTGACTACTCAGATTGGCTGCTCAATTATTCCTGTCTACCTGATAGATCAAATGGCATTCTACTTTAGTGGGCCTTTACATACAATAAAGCCCAATTCTTGAGTATCAGGAACAAAATCCCATCTTGGTTTAGGTGATATTTTGATAGAATATTTTATTGGGGAAAAATATTTTACTTATGTTCATTTTACTTTTGTATAATTACACAAATTTTATTTAATTTAAATGAACTCTATAAGTTAAACAAGCATAACCAGACAGTAGGAACAATTATTTTTTAAATCAATAAATTCTGTTCAGACTATTGCTTAATTAGCCTTTGATGCCACAAGTCTTGGCATGATTTTGATAAGTGTAGAAAGTACCATATCAGCTCATTAGAATTATATCCAGAATGTGTCTTAAAATATTTGGAATTCCATTTTTAACTTTATATTAATAGTGTGTTATATGGTCTGGATTTGAAGCTCTTCTTTTCAATTGGATTGTTTCTACTTACAAATTTCGGTACTTCTAAAGTGTGTATGTGTCTGATTCGAAAGAGGAAGATCTTTAGATCCAGTAAACTGAAACCATGTCTTATTTTGTTTCTTGCACAACCATTAAGTGTTGAGTATTTCCATATTAATGTTCTTGCTAATATGGCTTTTCACTCATACAGATTGCTTTTATGTTTTTTGAAAACAAATGATGATACCAAAAAGCTAAAGGCAGTGAAGAATTTTAAAAGATATATTTACAAAATTAGTCAGTGAGTGGAATGAAAAGATGAAAGATACAAATATATCAAGTATAATTTTGAAAATATATTTTATTGATAACTTTGGTTATTGCCTCACCACACTTCCCAATGTATCACTCTCTCAGAGAGCCATCTCATTTTAGATGATGTTCTTTTCATTTACATTGTTGTGGTCATTGGACATATTGCTCTGCTTACTTCATTTTTCATTAGTTTGTATGTCTTTCCATGCTTCTTTATATTCATCATTAAATATGATTTCAGGCATTGTAGTTATCTTCAGAATATGGCACTTCTTATAAAGTTTACAGATAATTCATCTTGAGTATAGAGAAACTAAACCAATTTTCTAAAACTAAGCACTCTTGATCTAAAGTAGGAATTCCCCCCACCTTGAAATGACATGTTTAAAAAACAAAACACCACCTACTTCAGCCTTGGTGGTGTCTTAATCAAGAATAGCTTTCAGATACTTGTAACATTTTTTAATACAACTTTTGTATTAAAAAATTTTTTTTAAAACAAAATACAGTGGTAGTTTTACATGGGGTTGTAGTAGTAAAAAGTTTTAAGTTGGTAGGGACTACTAGTAGTCTTCTGTGATTGCAAGGGTGCCCTGGTCAGTACTACCAGTAATTTCTTTGAGAATACGATGTTAACTGCATTGTTATTAGAATTCCAGAAAAGCACTTCTGCCTTCCTCGTCCCCAATTTTTGGGTAATCCTGTTTGGCTATTATGGTGTGGGCTAGTAGTGGCATCCTACCTGGGACCTTCTTGGGTTCCTAGGCTTCTCAGCCAACACTAAAAACAGGTGGAATAGAGATTAGGAAAGAGTCTTCTGATTGGCTGATCTTCCAATAGCTCTGTATATGGGTTGGGATGTACTATGTATGCTTAGTTGTCTCTTTGAGCCTTTCTTGCTGTTTCTTTGAAATCCTTCTAAGTCCTATAGACATAGGACTAGTTGGAACTAATATTCATCCAGTGTCTTTGTGCTCTTGTTCATGCTGCTCCTCCCCCTTGTTTCTTTCCTTGAAGGCTGGATAATTCACCTGGCTCCTAAATTTTGGAGCTGGTGCATAGAAATAAAATAAATGTCCAACTCTGCAGTAGTCTGTGCTTTCAAAATGCAAAATATATTTTTATTTGTTTATAATCTAGCTTGTTTGGTGATGTGCTTTTTCTGAATGTTCTCTTAAGATTAATTTTACTATTTATATTCTCTTAAGACTAATTTTACTATTTTACTATAGTCATGTTGATTCATTGGAATCAGAGTTAGAAGGGACCTTAGAGATTATCTAGTCCAAGGGCTCTTGACCAAGGTTCTATGGATGGATTTCAAAGGGTGCATGAACTTGGATGGGAAAAAAATTATATCTTTATTTTCACTACTCACTAAATGATTTTTAAGCATTTCCTTCAGTTATGAATGTAGGAAACATTCTGAGAAAGAGTCCATGGGCATTAGCAGACTGCCGAAGAGGGGTCCATGATGTACAACAAAGGTTAAGAATCTCTAATCTAGTTCAGCCTCCTCATTTTATATTCTTTATCAGAAACTC